ATGTACTGAATGACTTGGAACTCCTTCCAGGAATGGTACCACTAACAGTTGTAGTGTTTGGGATGCACACAGATCTAAAGCAGACCATACACTATACAATAAAATGTCACAACCTCATTTAGATTTACCATTAACCAGGTAGTGTAAGGACTTACCAAATTTATTAAACATTTGAAGTGTTTATTTTGGTCTTTTCAAATCACATAGTTTATCTAATCTAAAAGGAGATAATACAATCATAAAGTATAGTGTATGGCCAGAGAGAAGTGTATGCTCATAGTGGACATCTGAGGCTGGATGGGACAGGAGGCAGAAGCAGACTGAAGCCTAAGCAGGAAACAGTTATGGCATGAGCAAGATGCAAGGATGCTGGGTATGGGCAGTTGCTTCCAGGGATATATCTCATGCAACGGTTGAATTGAACTTTACACATTTCAGCCTTTGCAACTGTATACACTTTTGGACCAGAGTCCATAAATGTATGTTGCAAAGGACTGTGTATATTGCAGTAATTTTGATACTACATAAATTATTTTTGATGCAATCTAGACAAAAATGTTTTTTTGTTTATTTTTTAAAGGTTCACTTTCCTTCACTTTAACCAATGTTCGTTTAAAAAAAAATAAAAAATATTACGGTAGATAAATAGTAAAATTTTTATTCTATAATTTGTCTAGTTTACAATGAAACTAAAACAATGTTTCCGGCACAAAGCATTGCAAATATATTTACAAATGGAACAACTGAGAACTTATCCTAAATATTTTTTTCTATGTGTATGTTCACATACTGTATGTGTATTTTATAAACATTAGTTTCCATCATTTTCATGTAATTCTTCCATTTGAAATACCTGACTGATCCTGCCAGTCACCTTTTTTCTGTGTCTTAAACTAACCATACAAAGCACAGAAGCTGATCTGTGCTTGTGTGTTCAGTTTTCAGCCTTCGGCAAGCAATTCATAGGTACAGGCACACAGCATGCCTGTAGTGGGTAGATTGTTCAGCCAATACGCCCCCCAACCAACCACAGCCTGCCCCTTGTACACATCCTTCCCAATTACAGCCTGCCTCTTTAGCAAGCCTCCTGCTCAGGCGCAGCCTGTACACTGCTTCAGGATGAACAGACAATGGCACACAGGCACACTGTGTGTCTGCACAGTGTCCTGTAACCCTGCCACCCACTATCTGAAAGAAGGGATGCATGGTCGCATAACAAAACATTTTAACCTTGTAAAAAAGATCATTTCTGAATCTAAGCAAAAGCAGTTATAGTGCCTACATAGTTCTAACTGTATTAGAAAATGTCTGTAACATTGTGTGTTCACAACTACTTTAACAAAAAAATAAAATAAAAATTTTCAATTTTCTAAAAAGTAGAGAAAAATTAGCAGAAAATAATAGCCAAAAGGGTGTGGGGGTTAATAAGAGCTAACCAAGTAGAATGGCAGCAGGGGTACAGGAACAGGGTGTGCTACATACGTGAAGTTTTTTGGGTATACGCAGCACACCTAAGCTACAAGACTGGGTAAAGACTTGAAAAATGTCATAAATAATCTTAAATTTTTGTGTTTTATAATACTTTACTTTTTTGGTGGCTGTTAGCATTTTGTAGACCCTGGGTATCAGTATCAAGCCTCCAAGCCTAGTTCCTAATGGGAACGCTAAAGCTGGCCATAGATGTACCAAATCTCAGCCAGTTCAGCAGGGACCATCCATGATTTAATCCATCTATGGGCAGGCTGGTTGAACTGAAGTCAATTCATCAAATCGACTTCAGTACAACAAGCCTGTTGGATTTTTTTTACATGCGATTACTGCCAGCAGTTGGAGCTGCCTGCAGTGATCATTGTATCCAGTCAGCAGGAAAGGCTCCCTGTTGGCAGAACATAATATCGCTGCGGGAGGGATTCCCCCATCAACACTGACTGTGTCGATAAATGAATTGACCAATTTTTTTTTCCTGCAACCGTGGTTGCAGGAAAGAATAAACACATCTTCTGTGACTTGCCTATCTCTGGCACCACCATAGCTCACAAATGACACTCTTTTAGACTAAATTTATTCAGTCCTTCCTTCCACAAAACCATCCCTCTAACATCTAATGTAAATATCTGTTAAAATAGATCTATTTACCTACAAGTTGCTAGATTGTTACAAACCTAAAGTCATCCTATGAATCAACATACTGCTCAATGTCAAATAGGAAAAGGAAAAGTAATAATAATTTCCAAAGCAACAGACCCAATTGCTTGTTTATTAATTAGAGCTCCAGAAAATTATTGTTTTGTTATGAGCATCAAAAATGATTTCTTTGTAATGTCCCTTTGCTGATTGTGAGGTTTGTAACTGCCTGGAAATTCATACTGTATATTTTACACATGCAGCAGTGAAGTATGTTAAGAGTTGTATGACGGACATCATTTTTCAGTATTGCCAAATTGAAAGAATGGGTACCTGCACACTGCAAGTTACAATTCACAAAATACTTGCATTAGGCTTAAGAAGAGTCTGTATTGACTTATGGGGCAGGAAATACTTAGCTTGTCATTCTGAACCCAACAAATTAGGATGTTGTTTATAATGGGCTATATTCCCTGTTTTGATACAGCCTCAGAAAACTTGTGAAATATCGCTGCATCCAAAATTCAAAAAGTGGACACAAAGCTTGTTCTGTACTGGGCATTACAGTGGTAGGCATTCCCATGACTGATCCTAAGTGACTGAAGTTTGTGGTCATTCCTAAGGTTTGCATGGGTTTTCATAGGACTTGGACTAGCATTTCTGTATGGGTATAAAGGGCATTGAGAATGGAAACAACTTCTCTGGCAGAGACTGATGTAAATCGTTTTATATTTTCTAAAAATATGTGTTTCTGGTGTTACATAAAAAAAATTAAATATATCAAGTAAGGCCAGTTTACTATTACAGAGTTTTTATGAAATGGACTTCAGGAAGGCATGACATAAAACGTGCAGCAAACCAGTTTACCTGACCAAACCACAAACTACCACTTACTTGCTAAAGTAGGCACTTTCATGTGCTTGCATACTGGTTCATGTCTCTTCTTTTATATCAACAGCAACTAGCCTCCATCATCCATCACTCTAACAGATGCTACTATGAGTCAGCAAGGCCTCCCATCACAGCGATAAGCTAAGACTTAGCCAGAAGGCAGAACACATTTGGGTTTCAGGTTGCAAAGTCAGAACTTTTGTACACCCCCCTCATGCATACTTGGGAATGGGGGAGAGGGAAATCAAGCACTTGCAAGTGGACCAACCTAGGAGCTGAGACAATTTTTTAAAAACTCTCAGAGTTTGGGAAGACTAAGTAGACGATGCTGAAATAACAAAAGAGTATGTGCCAGATTTTATGATGTACTGCTGGACTGTATACATGCCACAGGTTGGCTCCTGTTTTGATTTCAGTTACCCTTTTTGTTATTGAATGTACACATAAGGGTGTTAATGTTTTCCCCTGACCTTAATGAATGCAGGGTGAGGCTCCCAATCTGGCAACAACTAGTCTAAATTTTATCAGATTGTGGGCTTTCATATAATCTCTGTATACCTATACAGTTATAATTGTCCATACGGAGCCATTGTAAGTTTACTTTTATCCAGACATACGTTCCTCCTACAAACATAACAGCTGTTTTATTTCAGTCCAGCTCATCAGCCTTTCAAGCAAAAATACATTTCAAGAACATACCTCTCCTATACTACAGATGCCATTAAACACTTAAAATAGACACAGCATTGTTTAGAGAGTGTTATTTTCATCAGTAATTAAACAGCATTGTGGATGTCATCTCTTATTTACATCACAACTGCAGTGCTACAGCTGCGTGCTGGGATCCAGGAAAGCCGCCTCACTGGTGTACTAAGACAAAGTACCTTTATAGTGAATAGTTGCCCACAGAATTAAATCCCCCATCACCAAGTGCACAATCTAGGACAACAATTCTTGAATGTAATGAAACCAATAGCAAGCAAAATAATATTTAAAAACTTAAAAGAATGGGCCTCAAGTCAAAATTTCTAATATTCTGGTTTCCCGCCAACACAGGCACATAACTAAAGTGCATATCTACCTCAGTACTGTTGCAGAACAGTGGCCAAGGCCTAATAATCACAAACTGGAATATTTACTAAATTCAGAATGTTGGGCAACAAGAAAATTATTGAACAGAAAAGTACATCTCCTGTTCTTTAATATGCTTCAGAGGGTGTAAAATGGTAAATTTCCATGATTTATATTATGAATATGAGGAAGATGTTGTTCCTACAAAAAGTGGTAGGCATGGTAGTTTCTAAAGGTGCTCCGATAAGCCAACTTGTACAGAGAAAGCTCAAAAATGTAACTGGGATGAAAAGACTTCTAGAAATAAACAAAAGAAATCGTCAGGATCAGTCAATGATGAGATATCACTGGAGACAAAAAATGCAGCAGATAACTGTGGCAACACTGGGAGGGGAAGTCATGGCCATGATTGAATACTTGGAAGATATTTTCTTACAAAACGTTCCACAGATGCATTTCAAGCTTTGCCATTTTAATGTTCAAGTATCATAGAGCCCTGTGCACAATAAACAAAAAATTGAATGTGTCAAACTTTTTTAGACCACAAAAACCCAGTGTTATAAAACACAATTGAATTTCAGGAGTTGTTACATACATGGAAAGAGCAGGAGTCCATCTACAACAAGCCAACACGCTCCTCACCTAGTAAAACCTACAGCTCTCCAATCAGCAGGGAGTGTGTGCATTGCTCATTGGAGAGCAGTAGCTGTGACTGTGGGTTGTTGGAGACAGACTGCTGCACAGCAAACAGCAGTCCTTATGTTCAACCAGCTGCCAGAAAAGAGGATTTAGGTCAGCAACTCTAAATAGCTTTTATGGATGAAAACAGGCAAAATTATTGACTGTGGATATTGGTATCCCTTTAAAACGGTTTTAAAAAGCTTGCATTCAATAAAAATGTGATAAAAATTCACCTGGCATGATAATTTCAGGGAATCCCATTTTCCGAGCAACAGCTGTAGACCTGTCCACAAGATGAGGAAATTCCTTACGAATCTGATGAATGTCACCAGGCAACAGTTTCATTGTGACCCAAAGACCTGAAAGGAACAAAAAGTTTACACAATGCTGTTTACCTTGATTTCATCTAAGGGTTCATTCACATACAAGTTGTTTTCCTCTCAGCATGTAGCAAATCGTAAAGAAAAAAAAAAGATAATTTTATGAGCTTTTCTATTTCATTTGTGTTCTTTAACATGCATTACCACACATTAATATTGCTTATTACATCACTTAACTGAAGTTAGAGCTGAACTCCAGGACATCAATTGAATACAGTATGTGAAAATAAATGCAATTCTGTTTAGTTTATAATCCAAAAACCCCATGCCAAACAGCACAGCAAATTCCTGGACTCTAAACATTACACTGCTGCTGGATCCAGAATCCACCCCAAGTTGTGAATGGACAAAGAAGCAGCAGCATCACACAGATGGGTCTTCCCTCTTCTCTCCCTCCAGTAAGTACAGTTAGGTCCATATATATTTGGACACAGGCAATATTTTAGTTTTTTTCAGGTATATACCAAAACATAGTCAAGCTATAGTTCTATAATGGATATGAGCTGAAAGTTTTAGGGTACGTACATCCAAACTGAAAGAAGGATTTAAGAATTACAGCTCCGAAGAGTAGCCACCCCCCCTTTTTCAAGGGACCAAATGTAAATGGACAGTTGAATCAATAGCTGTTTCATGGCCTGGTGTGGGCTACTACTTCTTTTACCTGCTTAATTGATGAAGAAATAATGGTCTGGAGTGAATTCTAAGTGTGGTATTTGTATTTGGAATAATGCTGTGAACCTACATCATGCGTTAAAAGGAGCTGTCCATGCAAGTGAAAGAGGCCATTGTAAGGATTCAAATACAAAACAAATCCATTAAAGAGATAACAGCAACATTAGGAGTGGCCAAATCAACAGTTTGGTACATTCTGAGGAAAGAACACACTGGTGAGCTCAGAAACATAAAAAGGCATAGATGTCCATAGAAGACAACAGTGGTGGATGATCGCAGGATCCTCTCTATGGTAAAGAAAAACCCATTCACAACATCCAGACAAGTGAAGGTAACTGTCCAGGAGGTGGGTGTATCATAGTCAAAGTCTACAATCAAGAGACTTCACAAGAGCAAATACAGAGGGTTCACCACAAGGTGCAACCATTCATAAGCCTGAAATATAGAAATGCCAGATTAGACTTTGCCAAAAAAGATTCTTTGGATGGATGAAACAAAGATTAATCTGTACCAGAATGGACGGGAAGCAAAAACTGCAGAGAAGGTTTTGAACAGCTCATGATCCGAAGCACACGTCGTCATCTGTAAAACATGGTGGAGGCAGTGTGATGGCATGGGTATTCATGGCTTCCAGTGGCACTGGGTCATTGGTGTTTATTGATTATGTGAAAGAAGACAGAAGCAGCCGGATTAATTCTGCAGTGTTTAGAGATATACTGTGAGCCCAGATTCAGCCAAATGCAGCAAAGTTGATTGGACGGCGCTTCACAGTACAGATGGACAATGATCCAAAACGCACTGCAAAAGCAACCCAGGAGCTTTTGAAGGAAAAGAAGTGGAATATTCTGCAATGGCCAAGTCAATCACATGATCTCAACCCCATGAGCATGTATTTCATTTGCTGAAGGCAAAACTAAAGACAGAAAGACCCACAAAGAACTGAAGACAGCTGCAGTTAGAGCCTGGCAAAGCATCAGAAAGGAGGAAACCCAGTCTTTGGAAATGTCAATAGGTTCCAGACTTCAGGCAGTCATTGCCAGTAAAGGATTCTCAACAAAATATTAAAAATGAACATTTTTATTTATGATTATATTCAATTGTCCAATTACTTTTGGTCCCTTGAAAAAGGAGGGATGACTACTCTTAAGAACTGTAATTCCTAAACCATTCCGCCAATTTGGATGTACATACCCTCAAATTTAACCTGAGAGTATGCACGTTCAACCCATATCCATGATATAACTATAGCTTGAATATGTTTTGGTAAATACCTGAAAAAAAACTAAAATTGTGCCTGTGTCAAAATATATATGGACCTAACTGTATGTTCACAAACAGCAGCATACAAAGCAACTTGGCTCTGATTGGCTCCTTGTGCTTTCCCTTCCTTTCCTTCCTTGTGCTGCTGTATAGGTGTATACAGATGGCTGATATCAAGTCACCATCAGATATATCAAGATATCTATTTTTAGTAATATTTAAACTGATTTGCAAAAGAATAAAGAACTAGATTATGTATTTTTAATATGTCTGCCTAGAGCTCAGCCTTGAATCAGTAAACGTGTTTTACACAAATTAACTTAAAATAAATGTACTTGCTTCCATATACAAAACAGGTAAACACATTGGACACAAGCAAGATAACAGTAATCACTTCAACTGCCCCTTTTCTTAACCTTACATTCATTTTAGTACATTGCATATTAAAACACAGGTACTGTATAGTATGTGCTAATTATGAGGCCTTAAAGTGTTACTAAACTCACAACAGTAGAATCAGTCTGTATATGCAGTAAAGCATGCATGTTATACTCACTGTGGAACCTATGGGGTTTATCCTCTGCATTGTGTAAAAAACGCCGTTTGATCCTGACTTCTCTGATCCCCCCCTTCTTCCAGTGTCCCCCTCTTATCTCCTTATAAGACATATCATGTGGAGTTACTCTGCACACGCTCAGTTTGGTGTGTATTGCTAGAGAGGGTTTTTTTTTTTTCTTGGGAGAGTGTATGTGATCAGCACAGGGCCAATCAGCACTGTGCAGACAGAGGTCAGGGGTTCTGCATCCTCCTACAGCAGAATGAAAAAACTCCTCCTACAAGCTTTAACATGTGCTCTGCTGGACACTCATAGAAATCACAAGACTGCTCTAACTGCCGATGAGAAAGGGCATTAGCAGTTTATATTTACTAAAATAATTGCACTTCCATGTTCTATGTACTGTGGGAGCCCAGATATAGTGAATACAGGGTCCTGGGTTTAGTATCACTTTAAACATTCAATGCCTTTCACAAAAACTGAAAGCTCATTTATAAAAGTGGCCTCAATTTGGAAGAATAAATAAACTGCAGCTCTACTGCAGGCCGAGCCACCAGCACTAGCCCACCGAGTCACTTGGCCATGCCCTGGATAAACCTGGCATAGATCAAGGTATAAGGAGCTGTAAATAAGTAGTTTTTAACAAAGTCAACTCACAATCTAGCTTAATGTAACATTCGCTTTAACCGAAAATACTACAATAGCCTTTCAGCAATGCTGGCATAAGAACAAGTCTGAAGAATTCTATTTGGATAAAGCACATGAAAACTACTGCCGTTTATATGATAATGAGATTTGTTCTAACAGACCAACTGGATGCACGTCTCCTGTGGAGGTGAGAAATTATCTGCTCCTTGTTCTAGAATGTAATCATTAATTTTAATTAAAATAAAAACCTTCCACTTGGTACAGTGATATTTTAATTACAAAGCAGCAAAGAGAATTCTTGCAGCACCTGGGTCACAAATGTTAATACTGCATGAAAGCACATACCTTGACCTTTGTGGTTAACTTCCTTGGCGGCAATGACTTTGTTGATGACCGTCTGCAGGAAATCATTCTCTCCTGCCACCCTGGGTGAAAAACGGGATGATAGGTTGAGCTGCTTGTGGCGGATGACGTCATCCAAGGCTAGCCTGGAGGGTGCACATCACAGACACCACCACAGGGGACATAGGGCCACAGGAACAAGGGAGTGGATGAGGTCAAAGCACAGAGTGCAACAGAGCGCATGTATTAGTCCACAAGAGACAGAGAACAGGAATAAGTGACAAGAAAGAGACAGAAAGGTCAGTGATCAGGAAAAAATGGCAGAGGAGAAACAGCAAGTTTAGAACCCTAAAGTCCTGCGGAGTGTGTCTGTGACAGTTCCCAGAAAATTGGAAACCTGCACCCAGAGGCCAAATTATGACTAAAATTAATGCATATATCCAGAACAGAAGGTGACATCTAAATATGCAGATTCTTTACCAGAGCAGCACAATGGCTGACTGGCAAAGAAGAAATTATATAACAAATCACATCCATGACTGCAATGTCCTATGTGCAAAGTAATTTGTGGCTGCAGTTTCATGCAACTCAAACAAATGGGTGTACTTGATATTGTGACTCTAAACCCAATAACGCACATTTAATACATTGCAGCTGACCAATCCTTTAAACAGTATCACTCTAGGCTAGAACACCACAAAAAATATTAATGGCCCATGGAATGTAAAAAACCCAGCTCCTGCCCAATTCCCCCCCCCCCTTTTTTTTTTTTAATAATAGCAGGGGAAGCGTCAAAGTGCTGTATGAGATTATGATGAGGAGATTTCCTCTTAGCTCTGATCTCTGAGACACCAGAATACAAGATATAGACAGCAATATAAATCTGACAGAGATTCACGTCATTCTGTTACATCCATAACTAAAAAAACAAAAAACAAACCTTTGCCTTGAGTTAGGCTTTAGGCCACACTCTCCAGACTAAATCAACTAACTAAAGCATGTTTAAATGATGGAGAAGCCTGGCGACACAAGAAAAGAAATATTACAACCAGGTAATGGCTGTTATTATCATCACTGCTAATTATGCCAATTGATGTAGAACACAGCAACAAAGGTCTTTCACTTCTGCTCATCAATGGCGATTATAACTACTTGGAAACCAGAAGAAAGAGAGCTGTTTTTTCTATGCGAACCAGGAGTGAATAAGTAATTGTAAATGGTTCAATGAGGTAGAAGAAAAACAAAAGCATTATCCAAGTAAAATACCCTTTTAAAGGCTGAAAGAAAAAAAAAAAAAAACTAATGCAAGTTACCAAGATACTCAGGTCTTTATGTTGGCCATCTACATGTGAAAACCAAAGTGGAAAACAACATATATAAATGGTTGGTAATGTATATACTGTATATTTTGTCTGCAGGAATTTGGAGTTAGTGTTGAATGGTATCAGTTTAAAGCGTAAATAAACCCATGAACTATTTTTAATCTTTATGCTGCTAGCCTTAGTAAATAGATAGGAAGGTATATTATTATTTTTTTTTTAACATTTCAGTTGCTTCCTGGTTACTGGCATAAGCCAAAATGATGTCATACATGCCATGAGTCTTCATGAACATTTTTTGCTTATATTCCATTGGGATTCTCAGCGCATTACACCCTCCTGCTTGCATGGCTGAGCTAAGGGCAGATGGATTCCTGGAAGTAAATACTACATGAATCATCTGTGCTTAATCAAGATGACTGTGGCTAAAAATGCTAGTGGGTTAATTTTCAAAGTGATTTCTCAACTAAATAAGCATGGAGACATGGAAAGATGGGGGAGTTTGCTTTGAATATAAAAAAATAAACTAAAATAGTGTTTTCAGGTGGTGGTGCTTAGATACAGTAAAAGGGTAACTCCACTTTCGTGGTGAAAAAATAAATTAAAAAAAAAAAAATAATAATATAGTGCATACAATTGATATACAAGTCATATTGTAACTGGATGTTATTAAAGATTATCTTTCCTTTTCAATCTTCAACGCTGTAATTTTCTTTAAATTGCAATGTAATATGGCTATCTGGAGGCATTCTGTACATAGATGGTGTACAGAATGCCCCCTATTTCCTGATTGTGTGATTGGCTTACTGATTTTCCTAAACGTTTGCACTTTGATACAATTCACATTTTGGGCATCCTCTGCAACAAAAATGTCATTTTTGGTGAGATACTCCTAAAGGGAAAGCACATCTAAAAAAGGGATACAGAACCTGCAATTTTCCTGCAATAAAGCCCTGCAAGTGCGGCAGCTGATTGATAATTACAAAACCACTCCCAGATAGATTCACTCTGCACATGGACACAAATAGCGATTTCTTCAGAATGACAAAAGCTAGGAATCTGCAATAAAGTTTGTTAAAATCCCTGCATTGTACATAAATCACCCACAGGGGAATGTTTTTTTTTTCTCAACAAAAGTGGAGTTAAGTTATTGTTTAACAGCAATCTCAATGTTTGTACCAGCTGAATTACCAAACTACAAGTGCTTGAAGAGGTTTATTTTTTATTTCTGTTTGTGACCGAACATCTTTTTAAAGTACACCAATCAATCAATACAAAAAGTAAAAGAATAAGAGTACAGCACTCATCTTTGTTGCAGATTCCTACCTTTTGTTACTCTGAAAAAATTGCTGTTTATTTGTCTGTGTCCATGTGCAGAGTGAACCTGTATGGGAGTGATTTTATAATTATCAGTCAGCTGCTGCATGAGGAAAGTGGCAGGGTCTGAATCCCGTGATTTCCCTATGGGAGTACCGCACCAAAAATTACATTTTTGTAGCAGGGGATGCTTCAGGTACTTCTCTCATATTCTCTTTTGGTTTTTTAAATATTACATTAAAAGAGTTTTGATATATCGGTTTAATTAATGCAAAACAAATCTGCTTATCCTGCCAGTTAGCTGATAACATCCCTGCGCCCTGCCTGTGATGCACTGAATTCCTAAGCAATGATATCTGCCCTGCACAAGTTATTTTTGAAGACTACACACCACCCCTCTTTTCTGTTATAAAGATAAAAAGGAAGGGTTGGTGTTCTGTAGTTTTAAAACATTCCCTGACCTAGGGTGACACTGCTGCTCCTTCGCAGAAACAGAATTAATGTGCATTGTCATCCAAAACCAGGAACTGAGTTACTAGCATGATCACAAAGTTAAAACAAATGAAAAAAAAAAAAATGCAGCCAACACATTAATAGACTGATTAGCCACAATCTATTACAATATTTGTTCCCAAGTTTAGCTAAAATCCATGTTTACTAACTTTACTCCAATAATGTGTTAATTTACTTTAATTGATATCTAAAAAGGAATCCTTTCCTATGAACAATGGATTCTGAGCGGCAGCATATTGCCTGAACCCTAAGATGACAGGGTCTCTGGCTGCTGGGTTTATTGAACATTTGTAAAACAGACTGCATAGGGCCTTTTGCTTCAGATAAAACTGACCTTAACAGACAGAGGGTCCACAACAAGGAAACCAAGCTTCTGCAATGACAGCATTTTTTTTTAAAGCCCAACTGACATCTCATTTGTTTTTACCCACTTGCCAGTCACCTGCTGTAGTTTTTAAGTTCTAATTGATTCTTGGTTGGAAATGCCTTAAAATAACTCCCTGTCTCTCAGGGAAGAGATACTGTAAGTAATGGCCACTCCCATCATATCGTACATCCTCATGTACACTTTTACTGCTAAGGAGGGGAAAGGGGGGGGAGGGGTGCCTACCCAGGGCTACTAGATTGATGAGCGCACTGGTCAGCATGGTCCAACTCTGGTACCTACTGGACTACACAGTCATATCTATGAAAATTTACACGAATACTATACCAGGTCATTGGTAGTAAGTCTAGGTTATAGGAAGTAAATCTAAGTTGTTTGTACAATGTTAAACTGACAAAATTCATATATTTCTTAGAAGTCAATTGGATTTTACACATCTGCATGCTTTTTAATATAATCAACCCCTAAATTATCTTTTTTACATTGAAATAGCTAAACACACACACACACACACCTCCTCTTTAAGGACTGCATATTTACAAGTCTAAAACAGAGGTTGCATATATAAAGAAATCTTTCATAAATGAACATGTATCATAGACTGGAGGAGCCATCACGAGCATGATCTCCCTAATCTAGATCTTAGTCATTACTTGAATGTAGCAGTAGATAACTAGTTGGCCTTTGAGCCAGAGACTATGCTTGTCTGGTGTCAGAGGAAATCTCCAGCGTGCCTACACACTGATGAAAGCAAGGCTCAGAAAGCGTTCAACGCGTCCATGTGTCATAAAAGGTAAATCCCTGAGAAGCAGAGAACATTATTATAAGCAAGGTCAGCGGGGGCCGAGCAGAGGCGTTCAGTCCTAATTAATGTGGAACAATGATTTTGTATTGTTTGTTATATAAGACCATAAAACAGCTGTCTTCCTGAATTATTCAAACTGTACCGCTGTAACAATTCAAAGGCTTCACACACAATCTTAAAATAAAATGTCACTGTGCATTAAGACGATGGACTGGTAAGAAATCACATCTGTCCAACATTTGGCTATGGGAAGGGCCACAAGTAGGTTAAATAATGCATGCTCATTGTTATTGCTATTTCATAAACTGAAGCATCCTTATTGCTCCAATGGACCGCAGAGGAGGTGGACAGCCACACTGGACACTTCAGTCTTTATTCAAACAAATGGCAAATGCTGAAACCAATTCGCAACCAATCAAATATTTTATTCTGGTGTAAACTGTCATAAAGCAACCACAGATGTATGGTTTTAGCAAGCAATATGGCTCATTCAAGCATTACTTGTATTCATTCAGTGGTGGTTGTGTACAAATTAAAGCACACCTTGTGCTACATGCAAGGTTCCCTTTTTGTTTCACTTGCCTTGCTTTTACAACAAGCAGAACTATAGGCAAAACTTTTTTTTTCCCATTTTGGGTAGAGTAAGGGAGGGTTATAACCAGTTGGACTTTTATTTTGTCCCATTGCAGAGATTTTCCTTCCCTTTCTGTCCCATAGCCAAAAAGGAAGTGAGAGGAAATCACTACAAATAAAGGGAATCCCTTGGGGACTCCCAGGATTTCCCCTCGATTACTTTTCACGGGACAACTTAAAATTAGAGATCTTCTTTACGTTCACTTTTAATGATAGCAGTAAAATGGACAAATAGAGAGGGTGAATCTCATTAATGGTGGTATAGACAGCAATAAAAAATTACAGGGGTTATAGTACCTCTCAACTCAGTCCAAAACAAAGAAAAAAAAGTCTTGCCTTCAGCTATACTTTCAATTTAAAAGAAAAGCACCTGTAAATGGGGAAAAAAAATGTGATAATATACTGCCTTTCCATTGGCTTCCATAGTGTAGGAGGTGACATCATCATCCACTGGCTGGATCGCAGGGAATGCCAAGTACAGTGCTGGGAGCATATTCTTCGTAAAATTTGGGCTACTCTACATTCCCCGGATTTTGTTGAAAGGAGAATGACATCACCCTCACCTAGGCATCCCAGGAGGAATACAGAAGGAAGTTGAATATATTATCTAACGTGTTTTACCTTACAGGCTTCTTAAAAGCTTTTATCCAGTTTTTTTATCAAGAGAAGGGGCAAACTTAAACAGCATCCCATATTTTTTTTAGGTGCAAGGTCAGCTTTACACAATAGCGTTCATATGAATGCAAGTTCTCTTGACCACATGGCCATACATACTAATGAGAGGTCTCTGCCAGGGTTGCTTACAGGTAATCTTTGTCCTCCAAGCTATATTTTTTTCTTTAGTTCTTTTCTATACCCCCATACAGTGGTTATAGAAAAGAATCATGTTGGTGTTATATCTATCTTTCACTTGGATGTTATAAGTTGCACTGAATAAATACAGCTGGATTAAAAAAAATGTGTGTCTTCATTTAAGGCTGCAAAGGAACAAAATGTGATTATTTTAAAAGGAGGTGATTAGAAAACTATACCCGCTTCATATGCTCCAGTAACAGTTCTCTCATTTGTGCAAGCTACACAGTCCTATTGACATGCCCCCGCATGTGTGGTCCTACAGATGTTTCAAATATTAATTAATCTTTTTGAAGGTCAAATAACAGAAGTAACTAAAGGGAATGATATTTATGACTAATCATATTGGAAGTCATAGCGAGTTTTCAAGGCAAAAGCTTCTTTGCAAGACTAATAAGCTCATACTAAAGCTTTGTGTTAAAAGCCTGCAGGGATTTTTAATATGATCGGTCATTAAAGAAAACGCAGACTTTGCCCATATTAGGTAGAGTGACAGGTGTAACGCAAAGCCCAATAAGTTCAACATTCCCTATCCCTATGCTTCCTTGCTACCAGAGCCCCCAGAAAAAAAAAAAGTCAGTGGCTGAGCAACCAGTTGCCAGATTCTACTGTTAGCCATGTGAAGGGGCGGGGGAGGGAGACTTGACACCTTTGGAGACTGTCAAAAGCACAGAGTGGGAGAGATATAGCTCTTGCTGCACATCAGGGTAACAGAGAATGTAAGTACATTGTGTTTCCATTTGATGCTGCCTGTTTCCTGGTAATGACGTGGGGGCCTATGGAAGAACCACAGTGCAGAGTGGGGGAAATAGGCAATAGACATGCTTGGAAGTGTGTTGAATATGAAGAGTCTGCTGGAGGCCAAAGCTCTGCAACAGAGCAAATATTAAAGGAACAAGTGCAAGGCATAGACAAGCAAAACAATTTTACTTTAAAGTGTATATATAGCCAAAACATTTTTTGATATAGGGAAGAGTTAAAAATCCAGCAAGTTTATTTATTTTGCTGTCTGAGAACCATTGGGGAAATTTCCCTTCATTTCTTGTCATAATGACACAACATGAAGTTGGAGGAAATTTCCCAAAAGGGGAATTGCCCCATTAGATGGTTGCCCTCAAAACAGGTATCCCAATCAGAAGATTTCTCCTCATTTCTTTTGGAGACAACTCTAAAATTTGTGATTTTCTATTTTCTCTGTTGGTGACATACAGTGGGTAACAGTAATTCAAACTGGACACAGGAAGAATTTGGCATCCAAAGAGGAAACAAATGTTATTTTGTCTACAGCATCATTATTTAAACTGGTGCAATTAAACAAAAATATACATCTACTTTATCAAATATGTGATGATCACATTACATTTATGTTAGCTAAATTATGTAAAAAAACTACAACATAAACAGAGGCCATGATCATCATTACCAAATGTTTGACATTATACAGAGGATGGATATCTTTAATCTTCAATGATTCCTAAAAAGAGCATCTGTAAAAGTAACCTACAGCATATACAATGGTAGGTTTTAACCAGTGAAAAAAACTGTAGTGAACTAAAAACCCAAGCAAAAAACTGTAGTGAACTGCATCCTGCGGTTATCAATGCAGGGAAAAAAATATTTAAATGTCGAAATCTGCATTATAATTATGCACGTTTACTATAATTGTACTTACGGCTGAAAAGGTATAAAATGCTGTTTGTCCTCGTCATCGAGTTTTCCGGTAATTATGTCAGTCACATCCATTACTGGAAGCAAAAAACATAGAATTAATACAGTCCTCCGGGTAGCCAAGTGTGTTAATGGATGGAATATTTTAATGGAGGGCATAGATGGAATAAACATTAGATTTTAAATTCTACAAATAAGTACATTTATTCTGCATCTGTCATAGGATGCTTTGCTAATCTATAAGAAGGAAATCAGCTGTGTTTTTTTTTTTAACCTCGTCTTAGTTCAAAGCCAATAATCAAACATTTGTACAATGAAAGCGTGATTTACCCCTGTCTTACAATAGAGGAACTCTAGTCATCATAAGAAACTACAGACGGACTTTCATTTCAAACTAGATGTTAGGTTTAGATCTATAATCCATTAATGCCGTCCCAGTTTATGAAGTATAAAAGGCTCCAACTAAGCAGCAAATATTGCAAACAAGACATTCGTTTGCATTAATCCCACCCCAAAAAGTAAATTTATGGTAGCAACCAGAATTTATTAGATGCATGTAAGAGAGATCATTTTTGTAATATCTTACAAATGTGAATTAAAGCTTTGCAAATAATTTACAATTATATATGTAAACATGGGCAGCCATGTATGCCTATCGCATACGTAGGCTCAGTTTATTGCCTTGCAGTGTTACACAATCTGATTTCCATAATAATTTTTATTAAATGTAGTATACACAACAGTACAGGCATCATGACAAATGATGAAAAAGTAACTGAATACAAGAAAAACCAGCATAGCACAAGCACAGAAATATCATACTGAAACAAAATAGAGAGTATCATTCCCTCGTAAGGCACCCTAACACCACCTACAGTAAGGGAAATAAGTATTTGATCCCCTGCTGTTTTTGAATGTTTGCCCACTCAAAAAGAAATGATCAGTCTAAAAATCGAATGGTAGGTAACACAGATACAGAATAACAACAAAAAACATTCAAAAGAAATGCATGTCTAACAAATTATGCACTGATTTGTATGTTCATGAGGGAAATAAGTATTTGATCCCCTATCATTTAGCAGGATTTCTGTATACCAGGTGTCTTTCATACAGGTAACAAATTGAGATTAGAAGCAGTCTCTTAAAAGGGAGTGCTGCTAATCTCATTTTGTTACCTGTATAAAAGACACCTGTCCACAGGAGCAATCAAACAATCAAATTCCAAACTCTCCACCATGGCAAAGACCAAAGAGCTGTCCAAAGATGTCAGGGACAAGATTGTAGACCTACACAAGGCAGGACTGGGCTACCAAACGATTATCAAGCAGTTTGGTGAGAAGATGACAAAAGTTGGTGCAATCATTCGCAAATGGAGGAAACACAAAACAACTGTCAGTCTCCCTAGGTCTGGTGCACCATGCAAGATCTCACCTAGTGGAGTGTCAATGATCATGAGAACAGTGAGGAATCATCAAAGAACTACACGTGAGGATCTTGTCAATGATCTCCAGGCAGCTGGGACCACAGTCACCAAGAAAACAATTGGTAACACACTACGCACAAGGATTGAAATCCTGCAGTGCCTAAAAGGTCCCTCTGCTCAAGAAAGCACATGTCCAGGCCCAACCGAAGTTTGCCACTGAACATCTGAATGATGCAGAGGAGGACTGGTTGAAAGTGTTGTGGTCAGATGAGACCAAAGTCGAGCTCTTTGGCATCAACTCAACTCGCCATGTTTGGAGGAGAAGGAATGCTGCCTATGACCCCAAGAACACCATCCCAACTGTCAAACATGGTGGTGGAAACATTCTGCTTTGGGGGTGTTTTTCTGCTAAGGGGACAGGACAGCTGCACCGCATCAAAGGGACGATGGACCGGGCAATGTAAAATTTTGGGTGAGAACCTTCTTCCCTCAGCCAGGGCATTGAAAATGAGTCGTGGATAGGTGTTCCAGCAGGACAATGACCCAAAACACATGGCCAAGGCAACAAAGGAGTGGCTCAAGAAGAAGCACATTAAGGTCCTGAAGTGGCCTAGCCAGTTTCCAGACCTTAATCTAACTGAAAATCTGTGGAGGGAGCTGAAAGTTCAAGTTGCCAAACGTCAGCCACCAAACCTTAATGACTTGGAGAGGATCTGCCAAGAGGAGTGGGCCAAAATCCCACCTGGGATGTGTGCAAACCTGGTGGCCAACTACAGGAAATGTCTGACCTCTGTGATTGCCAACAAGGGATTTGCCACCAAGTACAAAGTCATGTTTTGTGAAGGGGATCAAATACTTATTTCTCTCATGAACATGCAAATCAGTGCATCATTTGTTAGACATGCATTTCTTTTGAATTGCTATTCTGTCTCTCAGTGTTACAATACACGTACCACACACCTACCATTCATCACCTGCTTATTTCTTTGTGAGTGGGCAAACATTTAAAATCAGCAGGGGATCAAATACTTATTTCCTTCACTGTAGATTGTTCAAAATGAGCAGGTGGAAGATCCTAGGTTCCAAGAGAATAGACCCGATCACCTTCTTTGCAGCAAGTTAGACAGGGTGGCATATGCGCCAAGAGTCCAGAACCTCCCTCTAAAAAAAGCTCCACAACCACATTGGTGTCGTAAATCAGAGGCATTTGGAAACGCAAAGGTTCAGGATATTCATAATATGGCGTATACTGCGCACATGGTTTCATTCCATAGGGTTTATATGCCAAGAAAGCACGTGCATTCGCCTATCCACAAAACAGGTTAAGGGAGGCATTCCATCCGTGACGGTAAAATGTTTCTCGTAACCCAAGTGTTACACAATTGTTGTGCCTTACTGCTTCTTTTCACAATGCAAATCTATAGGGCCTGTTTATAGTGGAGAGTGGCTACTGCAGTGTTTTCTCTATACTGTGGCCTGAATGTTATGAGCCATTCATAAAATTCAGGCTGCAGCGTGTTGCCTACAGATTCCAACAGAATTCTCATCGCTTAAAAGTAGAAGTACACCAAAGTTTTTTTTGGATGTACTTCTCCTGTGGATCACAGGAGTACAGTTCCTTCTGCACTCCTGTGACCAGTTTTCAGCTGACAGCAGACTGAAGTCTGCTGATGGTTGACGTCACTCAACCGGTCCAGGCTGGGGAAAGATCCCAACTTCAAAGTCAAGATCCACCCCAGAGTCTGGAGGGGAACCTGGCTCAGCCCCTCAGTGAAGCGCTGAGTGCCTGAGCCAGCTGCTCCCTCCCCCTCCACTGCCCAGCACTCCAGTGAGCACTGGGATGGCTGGGCAGAAAGAAGCGACTGACAGTCCCGCACTCTGCTCAGAGCGGCTGTGAGAACTCAGCAATCATGTGATTGCGGAGTTCTCACCCTTCGAGCCGGCAGGGGACAGATGCAACATCAGACCGATGCTGCATCCCCCTAGGTAAGTATAAATAAAGCAGAAAAAAAAAAAAAAAAAAAAGTATCCCTTAACACTGCAGGGAGAACAAGGAGCGGCAAGCATGACCAGGCTCTCATCCTCCCAGTGTTATTTTGATTAATTTATTCAAACTCCATTTTCTACAGGACTCCTCGTAAGACCTACGAATGTTTAAAACATTTTTTGTAGCAGTACATCAGCAGTAAGGCTATCTCACTGCTTTACAAATAGGTCCCTGTGTGTTGGCTGACTCATTGAAAACAACTCCCAACGAGTGCAGCTGATATTTCAACATGTCAGAGAGGTAGAGTTATTTTGGAGGCTATCTACCCTGCCTCTAGTAGTGGTTTATTTTAAATTTCTGCTATTTAATAACCATATTCTAAAACTCAAAAACAATGTGAAAGCATCTCAAAATATTACTTTCGAACAACCTCATTGAAAAAGCATTCTACATTCCCTTTAAGATCACTGTGCATTAATGTTGTTAATTTAGTCTATGTCCACGCCTACCATTGACTCATTATGACTCACACAAGGAACACAAAATGGAAAAGCTCTAAGGGAGCCATGAATTTTTTGATCCTGGGCCAGTAGCATGCTAAGTTGGTAGCAGGTCTACAAACACAAGTCCTAATCGTTTTCATTTTTTTCACATAAGCAAGACTGTTACAGCTGTAAACTATGTACATTATATAATTCCTCTATACAGCCCAACTTGGCTGCTCATTTAAACATCACTTGAAACATGAGTATAAAACCTATTAAACTCAATGAAAAAAGAAAAATATGAGGCTTTAGGCTGGGTTTTTGTATACACATTGTTTCTGTTCCTTAATCATTTCAATAGCACATAAATAGAGAGTGCCACAACTTTACCTTTTCATTACTAATGAAACAAACATGTGAATTTAATTAACCTATAATCACAGATAATTCACAGTTTCTTTAGCGAAATTGCTGTCACATGTCTGAACACAGGAGAAGAGAGGCCGAGGTCTCAAAAGTGAAAATTATACTTGACGTCAAAATATACTTTTATTTAATACATCAACAGAATAATTTCTGTATAGAACAGAATTTTTATACACACTGCCAAGTATTATAGCATAGAAATCCTCTGTGTTTGCAGTGATTTTTGTTAAAGATAATGGGAGAAAATAAAGAACTCGTCTTAATCTTTAACACAAAATCTGGAAGTTTGTAAGCGGTTATAGGTTTCAATTATCATTAAAGAAACCATTAAACGCTTAAAACTGAACTTCACTTTCTCAATCAACATGGACTATATCCAATACTTATGCTGCTAGAATTAGTAAATAGATATACTTTCCTATCATATTTACTTGTATTCCTTAATTTACTTCCTGGTTTCCATGCCTAGGCAAATGATGTCATATGTCCCAGGAGTCTTCAAGAGGGGAAAGAGGGTTCTCAGCTCAGCCAATACCTGAGCTAAGGACAGATGAATTCCAGGAAGTAACTGCTACATGAATCATCTGCCCTTACTCAAGATGGCCACTGCCAGAAATGCCACCAGAAGGTGTTTTTCAAAATGATTTCTCAGCAAAATAAAAGCATGAGACATGGATGGATGAAGTAGTTTGTTCTGAACATTAAAAATTAATTATATAGCATTTTTGGTTTGTGGTACTCAGATGCTAATGCAGT